GGGGATGTTATAAACATCCTCCTCCTCTATGATGATTGAAAATGTCAGGCAGCAAACTGGTACATAGGATTACGTAAACATCAGACAACATTCAACATGTTATGAACATTTTTTCCAATTCATTGTTGTTTTTCACCTTTTTTGGGGGGATGGGGGATGGGGGGGGGGGGGGTGGGGGGAGGGTGTATATTGTTGGTTGTTGTCATAGTCAAACAAGCAAATTCGAAATGTCTCCTATAGTTTACATTCTACCGTTATGATTCCTTTTTAACATCAAACTCAAAATGACTGTTAAGTACTACAACCGGCTCGTGAGATAATCCTTCGATGTATCTTTGTTATGTAAACCTGTCGTGTTTATACCATACATAATAATTATGCATATCGGTGATTACAAGACAATACGGATTCGTCAATATCACGTGTAGTCACGCGAGATTACTAGGTGCCGTGCACTCGAGTTATTAACTGTTGGCCCTGGCGAATGCAAAAATCTATTCTTATCCATCGTGCTCAGGGCTATGGATTTAGTAGGTGCAGGACTACTAGCTATAGACTTGAGGCTTAGGTCCGAAACTGAATTCGGCATTCAAGTACCATAGCAGGAAAAAAACTGCAGTTATAGTGTCGGACATTGTTGATTTTCGGAATGCCAACGTGTTTTTCTGCAGTTATTTTGTTTTATGAAGCGAGGTGGATTTAACTGTTAAAGCCACCCTTTTCTTGAATATTTGAATACTTACATGGAATTTCCCAGCGTATATTTGATCTACAGTAAGCAATTTTAACACAGAATCGAAATATGGTAAAAACTGTTGGAAATAAGCTGTTGGGTGTCGCAGTGGTTAGGCACTCACTCTTCACCTAGCCGTCCGGGGTTCGATTCCTGAAACGGACATGAAAAGGTATGGGGTCACCTGCTCGACCACGTGGGTTTTCCCCCGGTTACTCTGGTTTCCTCCCACAGTAAGACCCCTCGCGTGCTTACATCTGGGCCAACAAACATAACTGAATAAAAATTTGAAAAAATTGTTTTGCAATTGTTGTAAAATACATAAAGTTTATGTTATAAAAATAGATGCAGGTAAGACATCTACTTGTATCATGACAAAAAAAAAGGATTTTTTTTCTGTTTGAACATGTCAATCTGCCCGCAACAAGAAGTTTTGGTAAAGCCTAGGTTATCTCATTATTCACAAGTCATCACAGTATTTAAACGTTCGATCATCCAATAATATAACTTATAAGGTATAAAAATCACGTATAACTACGTGTTATAGAAAGAGCGGGAAAGATAAAGGAAATAGGGTAACTCTAACAATTATTGTGTTCGATCACGATATGCGTGTTGTTAAAATCTTGAAAAAAAAAAATTCTGTGTAGAAATACTAGTTATTATCACAATGCTGTCAACAACAACAACAACAAACTGGGCTGTCAACAACACTTACTCTGAATAAAACATCACTAAGTTATGATTTTGTCTAGTATGAATGTGATTTCTTACATCAAATCCAAAAGAACTTGAATAAGGTATATAATGTATATTAAACTCAGTTTTGTAATTCCTTAAAGCTGTAATATTTCGGTCAATGACGATCGGTAGGTTATCCATCAAAAAATTCTAAATATTTCCCTTAATCTACTCGAACCATAAAGAATGCAAGATGATTATTTTCATATACTGCATTATCTGGAATTTTACAATGAGCTTCGCGTTGACTAGAGCTTGTTTGAGTAAAACGGAACATGCGCCAGAACGTTCTCAACAACATTCAAGAAAGTTTAAATAAAATTTTGTAAGTTCACAGCGTCTCTCTATTGAACTTGAAGTTAACATTAGGCTCCGCAGAACAACTTTTATGACAGATGTACATGTATAAATAACCATCAAATATTAAAATAAATATAAGAAAATACCTCAAGATGGGTAGGGCTTTAGTGAGAAGAATTTAGTGTTTCACCATCAGATAACATTAAAAATCTCATGAGTGAGAAAAAGATGATACATTGGTCTTAGTCAATTTATATAATAAGAACAATATCGATGCATATTTCTAGAAAGCAATCATTATTCAGAAATAGAATCGACGTCTACTAAAAACAAAAAAGGTTCCAAGATAGAGCCTTGGGGATAGCCGGTATTTCATTACTAACTTTTTAAATGGTCCGTTACAATTCCGTTGGGTATCAGTTTTGTTATTAAACTTTTGCGCCAAACATGATAAATACTTTATATATGTCAGAATATTCATATAAAATCATTTTAACGAATATTATTAATATATCATTTATATCATAGGACACGGGTTATCTTCTGTACCAACGTCTGTCTGATATTGCGTTTTTTGTCAGAAATTAAATTCAGTATCATAATTCATATCTCGTAAATGTAAGTGATATCTTTAGGCTTGCTCTACTGAAAAACATGTTGTAGACGCTTCCGTTCGTTTTCATTGGTAGAAAGGTCCTGGTGAACTCGACAAAATACTTTTTAAAGTCTATTGAAGTCAATAGGTCTACGTTGGTTCTCTTGAATCCAACCTATGGTGAATGTCTGAAATGAATCGACTTCAACAACTTAAAAGCGATCTTGATAGTATTTTAGGTATTTTTACCTCTATGGTTAGTGAACGATATTAGAATATAGTACCAGTCCGGGCGTCATCATTTGAGCATCGGCTAGGAAATCCTCTTACTCTGACTGATCATTTTCCTTCCTAACAATCGTATAAAGAGGTTATTGTGTGCAAAAACTCATTTAACGAAAGAAATAAGAAATGATAATGGGCACAAATGCGTTTTATGCGCGCCTGCAACAAAAACAGCCGTATCTTCAAGACGATTCTCAGTCTGTGAAAGTTACCTCCCTTACCACGTTGTGCGTAAACCACAGATTTACTGTTTCTTAAAAAATAGTCGCTATTTTTTTCAAAAACATTTTACAACAACTAACACTCTAACAGGAAATACGTGCTTTCTGAAATTGGTTTGATACGTATAGATAGTGAGGTACAATTGTTAGACATTGTTTTCTGTTAATTTTGAAGGCAGTATAACATCGTTTTCATTGTACTACAGCACGACTCTCTTTAAATCATTATTAAAATAAACATTGGAAATTATACCTAGCAATCACGGCCGTATACCGGTATATGCCGGTAGGTACAGGGTTTACCTATTGGCAGTATGGATGTCTGTATCCTTTGTCTCCAAAGGACATATGGCGGGGGTTATTACAATGTTCACAAGAGTGCTGTAGCGTGAAGCTTGCTTCTCACGGCGCTACAAGACAAAAACCATATTTGCCTTTATATATTTCAGAAAGTCATTCATTATATTTAATCATAGTTTGAATGATAATTACTTTCTGACTCGGCACATATTTCTACAGGTTATTTCCTGGTAAAGCGACTACAACATAGCTATAATACAGGACGTACATATCTGTAGGATTTTTCAAACTTATGATAAGGGAAAAGAAAATATTTTCATTGTTGTGCAAAATTAATAAAATATTAATAATTAATAATTAATAGCAATCGTTTTTGAATGAAATCAAATTGCTATGACGTACTACTGTTGGTTTTTGTATGAAATGATATCCGTGAGCAACATTCAATCATTTTATATTTATATATACGAATATATATATATACATTAACAACTAAATTGTCATTTGTATTATAATGTATAACAATCTTTGTATAACTCATTAGCAATGTGTATGTTGGGCATTTTATGGGATATGACTTGCATAAGCTTCAACCTTGTTGTCAAATCCCTTTTTACCTGTTGATTCGGTGCCTTCTTGTAATTCTGTAATAATGAATAAAAGATCTGTTTAATAAATGAGACAAAAGACCCCGACAACTATTTTCCATTGTGTGAAATCTGACAACTATTTTCCATTGTGTGAAATCTGACAACTATTTTCCATTGTGTGAAATCTGACAACTATTTTCCATTGTGTGAAATCTGACATCTAGTTTCCATTGTGTGAAATCTGACAACTATTTTCCATTGTGTGAAATCTGACATCTATTTTCCATTGTCTGAAATCTGACAACTATTTTCCATTGTGTGAAATCTGACAGCTATTTTCCATTATGTGAAATCCGTCAACTATTTTCCATTGTGTGAAATCCGACAACTATTTTCCATTGTGTGAAATCTGACAACTATTTCCCATTTTGTGAAATATGACAGCTATTTTCCATTGTGTGAAATCTGACAACTATTTTCCATTGTGTGAAATCTGACAACTATTTTCCATTGTGTGAAATCTGACAACTATTTTCCATTGTGTGAAATCTGACAGCTATTTCACGTGATGAGTAGTTACACTTAAATCAATTTAAAACAAGTCCTGGTTATAAAGAGATGAAGCAGGCAAACCACTTCTCATCTTAGAAACTCCCAACTTCACTTGACTTTTCTATCGTACAAATTACGTTAACATCATGTAAATATGTCGGTTATGAATTCTGCTGAAACATGGCGACCCTCCGTTACTAACATTCCCGGCTCTCTGACGTAACGGTGACTTCTCGTCTGGTTCTCGACACACAGGTACCAAGGTTGGTATGCACTTCCGTATTCAAATCTTATCTAATTAGTTAAGGCTGAAGTAAAAAAAAATTTTGCTGACCGTCCAGACTGACCGTGACTTCCCGGTGTACCTGTTACGTAGCATGACGTTAATTCTAACCCCTATATATAGCCGGTAAACCCAAGCCAATTTGTAGTTTCTTCCATCGAATCAAGTAAGTAAGATGGCTTCCAACATTTCTATATTTACTACTCATATCTATAACTAGAGCTCACTGTATATTTAACACCTTGATAGGAACGAAAACTTTTTCATGAAATTGAGGATTAAGATCTTTTGCGTATGTTTTTAATGGTTAGTTCGGAATTATTTATTATTCTATGCCAAAACAGTAACACATGTATAAATTGTAAGCTGTTGAACTTTCTCTTTCTTTATAGCTATAACCATGAACTCTTTCATCGTCGCCGCCGCCGTCCTCGTCGCCGTTCTGTCGGTAGCCTCTGCCAACTATTATGACGAGGATGATGGCTTCATTATCGGAGGAGGGGGTGCCTACGTTGGCGGTGGTTATATGACTGGAGGATACCCCATCGTAAAGGGATCAGGTACGTGGAAATACCGGTTTAAATATTTTTTAGAAGAAGATGGCATAGATATATATTACCTTAAATTTATGTACGACATTTTATTAAAACGAATCTTAGAAGTTTCATTTTTGAAAAAACCTTCGCGAGCATAAATTAAGAATTCGAGACATGTTTCATAAATATCATATGAAAAAAATTTAAAAAGTACAAATATTTTAAACGGATTTTAAAGAGAAAATGTGAGGGACAATATCTAGCTAACGCATCCATTTTGTTGCGAAATGATTAACCTATCACGATCTTGTCCATACAATCGCCTGTCAATGGTTAAAATTCAACAAACTTTGATTTTCTTCTCAGTTTCGTCTAAAATTGAGAGAAGCTATCATTACATTTAGTCTAAGTCATTCATTTCATTATAGTTATTATGACGTTTTTGTGTGTTTCAGGTCTGCCCTGCAAGAAGCACTTTGGTGGATACGTAAAGGGCGGAGTGATTAGTCACGGTTATCCAACAGTCTACACCACCGGAAGTCACTACGCAGGTTCCCAGATGTACGGCGCCGGCCAGTACGGCGGTGGTCATTACGCTGGTTCCCAGATGTACGATGCTGGTCATTACGGAGGTTCCCAAATGTACGGTGCTGGTCAGTACGGAGGTTCTCAAATGTACGGAGCTGGACAGTACAGCTCTGGAGTTGGACACTACGCTGGTGGACAACAGATGTACAGTGGTGGACAGCAGTATTATCCCGGTCAAACTGTCTACTAAAGGTGTGTAGCTTCCTTGTGCCTTACCTCTACTAGTATGAAAATGACAAGAAGTAACTTGTTTAATTTGATTTAAGACACAATAATTTACATAAGATTTTCCATATATACAACATTTGAATTTCAAAAGATTCGAACATTTAATTAAAATGTGCCTGATAATTAGATAAAAAATAAACATATAACAAACATCCGACCATTTCCGAAACAGAATAGACTTAGTATCTAAAAAATGACATTTCTTCATGTCGCTCTTATATTACGTCATACAAGGACGGCCATTCTTAATCCTAAGAGCAGTGTTTCATGATATCGTTAACAAAAGTTTTGATTCAAAGTTATATTTATTATATCAAACTCATTTTAATATAGTTTTGAAAAAAAAAAAAATAAATAATGATCTGATGTTTACTAACAGTTATTTTGTTTCCTTTACACAGAATGAGATCCAATACTGAAGGGAGGTGACCAGGAGAGCCTGGTAGTTGTTGTTATTTGTTGTTGTATTTATGTTGTTAAAGTTTTATAAATAAAGCTGTAACATTATCATCCTATTGTTTATATTATTTATATACAAAACAAGACCGTGATTGATGCTAAAATCAGTTGGAGTCCATTGTAGCTGGAATTCCATATCTGTTAGTGTACGAAAATTGTTATAATGCAAGCAAGAACAGTAACATTTACAGAAATTTCAACCACACGTGGCTACAGACATATCTTGGTGACTTGACCACGCGCTCTCATTTCCCTTTTTTTCATGTCAAATTAGCATAAAATTTATAAATTAACTTTTCTCTAAACTTGCAATGAAAGTCAAGGAAATATGACTGCAATTTGCATAAAACTAGACGAAACTTCTATACTTGTCCAGCAGCCTGTATCCGTGCAAAATTGTCCGGCTTTTTAATTATATTCTCACACACTTTTTTTGACAAAGCATAAGAGCACTTAACTTTTTCACTTTAGCTGCCGATGAACCAGCGAACTTTACTGACGAAAAATATTAAATTAACATGCACCTTACGTATGCATTATAGTATAAAACTACACGTGACTCACGTGACTGCGCTTGGAATAACTGTTTATACAATCAATGACAAGTTATTTTTTGTCTTTTCTATCCAGTAAATTATCTGAATCCCTTAGGTTTTCAAACTTTTTGAGAAAAATCTTTTCAAATCTTTCTTGGTGTGCCTAAATTTTACTTTCGACGTGTTTTCCATGATGTCCGCAATGGTTTATCAAATAATTCCCCGAATGCTTGTAAGCCTCATATCTTAAGCCAAGCCGGATTTGGTTTAAGCCTTCCAGCTTTATTTATCTATTGTAATTAATCGACCACCGATATTCCTGTGAATACATCATAGTTTTCAATACTGTCTGTACAAAAAGGTTAAGCTGTGTGATATCTTAATATATGAATACGGATGCCTTTTCACATATCTAATTGTGAAAAACCGATGTGTTTTAAGGCTAACATACTTATATTGGTTAAGATATAAGGACAAAAACACCATTAATATACCATTCATGTTTCTTTGGAATTAGCTTTACTTCATTCCCTATTGAAATAATAAAAAAACAGACAATTGATCCGGAAACAAGTAAGGAGAACGGGAAGGGAACGGAAGTTCCGTGTGCCGTATGTGAAAAGGAAGTAGGAAATCAGGAGAATGTGTGATGAAAAGGACTTCACTCAAATCTTCAAGGAGTGGATGATGAGATATTGTCCATTTAAAGAAATCACGTGTTTTGATCATCTGTAAGCTCGTCAGTCAATTACAAGAGTAAAGCAGTTTGTGATTGTGCTGAATATTCGTATTCGCAGTTGGGAAAAAAAGATAGCAATGCAATAACATATAAGAACACAGAAGACTCTAAATAAAATTTCTCCGGTATAGATAAAATTTATGAAAATTACACTCAATACTTAATCTATTGTGATGTGTCTTATCCAGTCTAGTAACACTAGTTTTATTCATAACACATAGATATCGCTCCTCCTGGAGTAGATGGGTTTTTTATGCTTTGAAAAATTAAATGGTCGTTTTTCACCTCGTCTAGCAAGGTTCACCAAACCTTGGACCTTTCGTTGGGAAAATACAACATAAGCTTGTGTTGTTTGAGTCTTTCCTCCAGAGCAATCTAACCTGTTTTAATATAGAGTTAAACTTTACTTGTACATCTAGTACCAACAGTGACGATCCAGTTTAAGCTAAAGTAAGGCAGTTTCCAATAAGATACCGGCATACTAGTCTAGTATCAATCGAATTACTGTGTAGTACATAGTTTAGAGGCTACATCTTTCCACTGAGAATTCGGGTGTACATGGGACATTAAGTTTAGGTGAAATCTTAGATATTAGATAAATGATGCGCTCATTCCAGTGAACATCTCCATAGAGAAAAATACCTAAGTGATTATTTGATGAAACCTCACAGTTGTTAGAGTTTTTGTTATGTAAGGGAGGGTGAAAAGGGCATAACACTTTCTCTGCTAATTTGTAGGGATGCTAAGTTAACAAAGGTCAAAATTAAATAACTATCTTTGCGACCCGTTACGAATTTGATTAAGATCAGCACTGATTCTATTGATATAAACAGAGAGGCATCATCAGCGCATAGCTTGTATGTCTTTTAACTATGTCGTTTAGATAAATGAGAAATAAAAGAGGCCCAAGCATGGAGTCCTGTTGAACACTTTTTTAAACATGGCTTAATGAATACCAAAGATAATATCGATTCTTGGGAGTGTTAATGGACAATATATATTTTGTATGTGGTAGGTTTTGTTCTAATGATAGAATTGTAAATACATGTTGTTGTTCATGCCACCAATGGTCTAAATTTAAGACTATTCTACATATTATGTATCCCTCCATGCATATGTATCTTGCGCCTCTCATCGGTGCCGATAATTTGTACCCAATCTTTTTGTTGTACATATAGACTGAAGTTAATGTCATTCAGATCTATATATTATATAACAACAGTGATTGATATTATGGTTGTATTTGAAATGTTCCTGTCATTTAATAAATGACCATTTGACAACATTTTTTTCACTGTTGTTTTTTGTTTATAAGATATGTACAACAAATAACAAGCTGCAGTCTCTGAGCTGGGTTACCATGCTAACACAAATGTTGTTGTTCATGCCACCAATGGTCTAAATTTAAGACTAAAGAACCAGATAAGCCCTGGTGTGATAATCAATGTAAACGTCTACATAAGGCGTATAGAGGAGCCTTGTTTTCCTTTAACAGACGTGACTCGTATGAAGGTAGAGAAGTTTTAGTTCGCTTCAGGAAAAATTACAAGATGTATGAAACAAGGATGAAGTGAAACTATCCTCAGAAAGAAGGCGATATCTTAATTTTTTGGAAAAAAAAGAATCAATAATCTTTTTATCAATATTTTTCAAGGCGCAAGAGTTTGGACGCTGAAAGTTTAAATTTAGATCAGTTTTAAGAACTCTTCAAATTAATTTCTAATATGTCCTTTGATACCGCTTGTGACACTGAACAACATGTCTTGGATAATGAAAACATTTATTATGAATTGCATAAAGTTTTCAAACTCGATGAACTGTTTGTTTCATTTAAGGGGCTATCTAGGGGTAAAGCATCAGGATTGGACGGAGTATAAAATAAATATTTGATTGAATATAGGGAAGATTTTGCAACAATTTTACTTAAACTATTTGATACCATATTACAAGTGAACTATTTCCATAAAATGTGATCGGACGGGGTCATTTTACCTTTATTTGAGAAAAGCGATAAATAACACTGATCAGTCATATTGCCAAATTATTTACGTCACATTTAAATAAACATTTGCTTACGTTAAGTGAGTGTGATAATGTAATATCAGATGCTCGGTTCGTTTTTATGCCCGGAAGCGGTATGAGAGATACGACTTTTGTACTACATAGTTTAATTACAAAATCTTTGCAAAGCAACAGAAAGCTTTACTGTGTTTTTGTTGACTACAGAAAAGTGTTTGATAGCATTTCACATGATAAATTATGGTTTAAATGATGGAAATCTGGTGTCCGGGGGCGTTTATTGATTGTTGTTAAATCTATATATGAAAGTGTCATGTCCTCCGTAAAGCTTCATGGTAAATTGTCTCCAATATTCGACTTGCAGATCGGCCTGATACAAGGGGAATCATCACCGATTATGTTTTCTTTGTTTATTAATGACATTGAATCAGAATTAATTGAATTTAATTGTAAAAGTTATCACATTCAACTACTTAATCATTTTTTAATTATGTCTGCAGATGACACAGTGCTATTCTCTGCAGATATCGATGAGCTTAAAAATATTCATGGCTTTTAAAACAGGTATTCAGATCGTTGGAATTATACCATGAATGTAGCTATAACACAAATAGTGGGTTTTAGAGATAAAAAACAAAAGATTGTTACCTGATGAACAGCGATAATTTGATCGAAAAGATAGACGTGGTAGATCAGTTTTGCTATTGAGGATTAGTATTTAATTATAATGGCAAATTTGTGTTTGTACATACTAATATTACTACACAAGGCGAATAGGTCTAATTTTTAACTTAGTCGAAAGATAAAAAGGTTTAACTTGAACTAAAAAAACAAGTTGGCATTATTTGATGCTTATGTATCATATATTTTGATGTACGGCTGTGAGGTATGTGGCTTCGATACTGCACCACAGTTAGAAAAAACCTGCATTTAGCTTTCCTGAAATATGTATTGGGTGTGAATAAACTGTTATTAATTCTATTATTTATTTCGAATTTGGTTGTTTTCTTATTACATACAACTTAGATTATTTACTCTTAAACATAGGATGACCTGTTTGAAAATTGTTAACTGTATATTGAGGGTGTGTTATGATGAATTATTAGAGCTAAATACAAAGAAGCCCAGTTGTAAGGCAAACTGGATTTTTCATTTAAAACAGGAACTTTATAAATCAGATTTTGGTGATGCATGGTTGGCACAGCAGGT